TCAAACCTATGGCGTGGACTATTCTGACACTTTTTCACCTGTTGCTAAGTTGACATCTGTTCGGTTGTTTATTTCTATGGCAGCTACTCATCATTGGCCTTTGCATCAACTAGATATTACGAATGCGTTTCTTCGTGGTGATCTTCAGGAGGAGGTGTATATGAAACAACCTCCTGGTTTTGTTACTCAGGGGGAGTCTAAGCGAGTTTGTCGTCTTCGAAAATCTCCGTATGGTTTGAAACAGAATCCTCGTGCTTGGTTTGGAAAATTTTGTCAGGCTGTTGAAGAGTTTGGTATGATGAAAAGCAAATCTGACCATTCTGTGTTCTACAAACAAACTGTAGCTGGTATCATTCTTTTAGTTGTGTATGTGGATGACATTGTCATTACTGGAAGTGACACTACGGGAATTTCATCTCTTAAGTCTTTCCTTCACACTTGATTTCACACGAAGGACTTGGGAATGTTAAAGTATTTCTTGGGTGTTGAAATCACAAGGAGTAAAAATTGTATCTTCTTATCTCAGAGAAAATATGTTCTCGACTTATTAACTGAGACATGAAAATTGGGGGCGAAACCTTGTAGTGTTCCAATGAATCCAAGCATGCACTTTACAGGAGATGGAGAACAAATTGAAGATCCTGAGAGGTATAGAAGGTTGGTTAGAAAGTTGAACTATCTTATGGTGACTCGTCCAGATATTGCATATTCTGTCAGTGTTGTTAGTCAGTTTATGTCATCCCCAACAGTTCATCATTGAGCGGCGCTTGAACAGATTTTGTGCTATTTGAAAGGAGCACCCGGACGAGGTATCTTGTATGCAAATCATGGGCACAATCGTATTGAATGTTTTTCAGATGCAGACTGGACAGGTTCCAAAGTGGATAGAAGACCCACATCAGGTTATTGTGTTTTCCTTGGAGGAAATTTGGTCTCATGGAGAAATAAGAAGCAGAACGTTGTGTCCAAATCAAGTGCAGATGCAGAGTATAGGGCTATATCACGGTCTGTATGTGAGATAGTGTGGATACATCAGCAAAATAGGTCTTAACATTTCAGTACCAGCAAAATTGTGGAGTGATAACCAAACTGCCCTTCATATTACATCTAATCCTGTGTTTCATAAACGGACTAAGCATATTGAAAATTCAGCAATGATTGATTTNGCATGATTAAGATCTATGCTCCAACTGGAGGGGGTGTGTTATAGATTGTAATTAGGTAATTACCTTATTCTAGGATCCTAATTTATACACTTTCCTAAGATAGAATCCAAGACTTTGTATATATATATATGTGTATCACCGTTTCCAATAAGATAAGAAAAATATTTCTTCACGATATTGTTCACACTTGCAAACGAAAGGATACTTAAAATAAAAGGAAAAACACGAAACAAGGATGTAAATGTCAAAACAAATTTCTCGAAGTTACTAACAAATTCAATTTTTTCAGTCATGTAGTACCAACACTCGCTGTACACGATGTCTCAGACCATGTAGGATATTTTATCAACTAATGACCAGGAAACCACTATTCAATTGCACGTGAAGCACAAAAATGACAGGATGTAGTCAACCTACTGACTGAGAATGTAAATATTCAGATAAAGATAGTTTTGTCTTTATACTGCTCCACAAAGAAAAGTCCCAATAGTTAACTGGCAAAAATTTACTAGTGGACTGTGTTGGTAAATTGAACAACTCATATATCAAACAAGTGATGGAATAATCGTTTCCTTTTATTCCCTATAAGAAAAGACATATAAAAAACTGAAGAGTTTTCTTTTTTTGTTTCCTATGAGAAATAAATATAAAATTAAAACCAAACCTCTTACGATGAAGCCTATTGATTCTTCTTAATCTTCGAAGTGGAAGAACGGGGTTGAAGATCTTGATTAGAAGTTCTAATTATAAATAGAAATGCCTCTACCAGCATGCCGCCAACCAATCCAAGGATGCCTCCAGCAGCACTCTGAAATCAAAATGAGCAAAATTTATTGCAGTTAAATGATCATTACAGTTCAAAGCAAACACTGCTAGGCATCGAACTGGAATGAAATTACTTGGAAATAAGAAGGAAATGTGTTTCAATGGCCTTCCATTTAACATAAATGTGTCAAAAACAAAGAAACAATTGGGAATCATTGTGAGAGTTACCATTGCAGGACTCTGGCTAAACAAGGCTCTGAATGCCGCATATCCAAGCAAGTAGCCGGTGAACATTATAAGCACAACATGTAAACCTGTCGAGTAACCAAAGAAAATATTACAATTCTAACTTTCTAAATCACACGAATTCAATATAAATTACGCCACATTATAAAACGACGAGCTTCAAGATCAACATTGCTAGGTTATACTGCAATCTCAGAAACTTGATCTCTCTGAGATAGACAGGGAGGCAAGGAATTCAAATTCTAAGTTTGAATACGCCAACTTGGCAAGTTAAGGAGTTAAAATTAGAGAACCATCATCAGGTTAAACCAATAAGAGAATTCAAAAGAAAGGCTCTTTTGAGAATAAAACAGAATAAATAGTTTTCCAAATGACAGAAACATCTAGAATTTCTGGATGAAATAAAAAAGTTAAAATTAGAATTATTTTTCATGGTTTCAGTGGCTTACTTTAAATTGCTTGTACAATGAATTGACTTCATAAAGAACGTATTTTGTGTAAAAAAAAAATTTTTAAAAATTAAACCATTGTAACATGATGGATTTACTTGTATGAGGCATCAAAACAAAATAACCCTGAGACACATCACAGAGAGAATAAAATCTATCAATTAGATAAAATGGTCGTGGACTGCAAAAACTAGATTCTCATGTATGACACCTTTTAGTTATGGACACAGCTCTACTTCACTTTATATAAGTCCCAAGAATTAGGCTACAACAACAATTTACTAGTAAAAGACTATTTAACTTCGACCATTTTACCCCCTTTCTATAACATACTAGCATACACCTTGGCAAGTGCCTGGAACATTTATAAGAGTTGAAGAAAGCGTCAAATAAAAGAGAATTATTTGAACAAAAAATCAACAAATAAAGAAAAATTTAGCACTTAAAAAAAATAGAAAAAGAGGAAAATTCAGCATAAATACCTGATCAAATCAAGGTTCATAACTCAGGACCCTACTCTTTTCTAATCCGTGACCCTAAATCCTAATTTTAGATTCCACAAATCTTTAGAATTGCTAAACTATGTCAAACTTTTTATTGAATCATGTTCCCTTCAAGGATTCCTTGCGTTATATAAGAAGAGTATTACCTTATACAACTATGATATTAGACTAAATATGATAAATGTTATTAACCTAAATATGTTAAATACAATTATATAAATAATTATGTTAAGTCATCAATTTCCATAATCTCTGTTGATGTCATTGACATCCCCCTCAAATTGATACTAAATGATCAAGAAGCATTAATTTGTTTTCCATGCACTAAAATAATTCCGTCACATGAATTTAAAACAAAAGCCTTTCACTGACATAGTTTCTTATTGTAAGCAAATCAAACCACTCCAAAACCCAAAGAAGATAGCCCACATAGAGAATCCACATCCCAATATATACTCAACCCCTTAAACCTCAATACCTTCTCCAAATAAACCAATTCCCCATAGCCCAGTAACCCGGAATTAAACACATTCTGCCCAACTACCCAGGCCTAACCTAAACAACCCACAAGCCTAGTATAATCCGCCCAAATCAATATACACAAAACTATAGCCAATCAAGCCAAATACCAAGCCCATAGCCCAATATATAGATCACCTATTAAACAACAACCCTATCAACCAAGGTTAATCTAACTCCACAAATCGTGGACCCAACTATACCAAAAGCCTCATTCCAGAGGCCCATTCTCACAAACAACCATAAGAATTCTATTAATCCCTGGCCTATATCCATCACTCAACATACCCATCATGTACCAATCCATAACCCGGTCCAACTCCTTCATCTTCTCCACTCAAACCCTAACCACACTGCCTACAATTGGCAACCACCTCGTCACCTTTTGACCTCGCTTATATTGCCGACATCCACACCATCCACAAGACTCGAAGTCGACACCACCCTATCATTCCAAGCCGTCGCCGCCACAGCCACCAACTCTTTTACCTCTCCACCGTCCCAGCTCACACAACAGTCCCGATCTACTTCTATTGCAAACATCGGCACAAAATCAATGAACACCCATCGCCGACGTTTGACTACCTACCATCCTCCATCGACCAATGCCACAAAATAGACCAACAGCCTGTCCTTTTGAGAATTGCAGCTTCCTACCATAACCACGTGTTGTTGATTGTTGCTAAAGGGAGAGAATAGTTGTAACACGCTGGAGGAGGCGGATTAATAGGTTGCTGTTTTAATATATTGCTCCCAAAATCTAACATGCACAACCCAAAAAAATCCAAGAGCCCAAATTGATTGTAGCTCCACCATTCCCATAGCAAAAAAAAAAAATCACTACAAAAGGTGGAGTTCACCTCCTCCACCCAACCGAAATCGCCGCGGCGCTAAAATTTCCAAGTCATTGAAACCATGAATCGTCTTTACTGCAGAAGTTCAAACAAAAAGAAGCTACCCAAAAGAGTCTTTGATAACGAAACCAAAGCTCCGACCAGAAATCTTACACAATAGAGAAAACTATCGATACTTGCAGCACACTCAGCACACCAAAGAGTCACATGCTGACGAAAAATCGGTCAACTATGGACCACCACAAGAATCACACTGAAAAAAATTCTATCAACTGTATACCAACACAAGAGTCGCACGTTGACAAAAATTCTGTCAACCGTGGACTACCACAAAAAACTTATACCTAACAGATTGAGATATGCCCAAAGAAAATCGAGGATTCTATATAAAGTCTACGAGATATGCTCTAATACTATGTCAAACTTTTTACCGAATCCTCTTCCCTCAAGGTATTCCTTGTATTATATAGAAAGACTATTACCTCATATAACTATGGTATTAATTTAAATGTGGTACATGTAATCAACATAATTATGCTAAATACAATTATATAAATAATTATGTTAAATCATAATTTGTCAATCTTTATAATCTTTGTCGATCTAATTGACAAAATATTGAACTCTTGTAATTCATATACAATCTTAAAAATGGATGAAACTAAATATTTGAACTTCGAATTCTCCTGCTGTTTATTTCCACTTGTGATTCTCATACGGAATTCACACTCAAAGTTACATTCAAGCAGCAAATTCAATGTAATACCAACACATATTCAATTTATTAGTTTAATTAGGTTCCAAAATAGAACATCTATAGCAAAAATGACATACGTCATTAATGAAGATGCTAAATCGTAATCCTAGTATATTAAGTGTAGGAAAAATGAATTCTTTTTATCCATTCTGTCTATTCCAATGCTATACATAATTAAAGATTGAATGAAATTAAAAGTGTAGCAACAAGGTCCATTGAAATCAAATGTTTCACAAACACATGGCTCGGTTAATTGTGCAAAAATGACAAAGATTAAAATAAGTTTAGCAATAAAACAAATATTCCTTTCTGCTTTTTTACACTTCCTTTTCCGTTTCTATTTTTCATTTTCCATGCACAATTTCATTATTCATTTTTTCCCCCATTTCATTGGTCTCTCTTATTATTTATTTAATTTTTTCAAAAGGTAAAGTAAAAGGAAAATCTCATAGGCCAGTAGAGCTTCCTCCCAGTTGAACTCACTATTGAAACGCAACCTCGTGCCTCAAAACTTAACAATGTACACGTCTAACACTTTAGATTCACGACTATAGTTGTTTCTAAACAAACATATTTGAAAAATAAAGGAACAAATGCTCTTAAAAACATATGAATCTGAATAAGAACAATTCTACCCCAAACAAAGCATCATGACAATATTTCTTAAAGCTAGTAAAGATGAAAATACAACAAACTTATAATTCTCGGCTGATGCAATGTCAATTTAGAAATAATTTTTTTTTTTTTTAAACCGTGGATGTCCGGGCCAACTTGCTCACATCTCGACTAATCTCATGGGACCCTGAAGTTTACGCCCGAATACTCACCTCAGGGGCCCTGAGGGGACTCGAACTAGTAACCATTGGGGAGCAAACACAAGGTCTGACCAATAAGCAAACCCAATGTCTGACCAATAATTTAAAAATAATTATAATTTGTGAAGGTAGATAAATTGAAGAACATAGATTGTTCCGACATGCGTTGTCTAGATCCAGAGAACTCTAATGAAAAAAGAGAGATAAGATCATAATAGAACACGTTAGAAGAGAACTAGATACAACAACAAAGAAACCCATTCTCCAATAAATTTGGGGTTGACAACATAAGTCATTCTGCCATTCCATCTGTTCATTGCTAGAATTACATAAAAATCTAAAGCAACTAAATCTTTAATAACTACCATCCATGTTAGTTTAGGCATACTCCTACATCTACGTATTCTACATACACCGATTGATGTTAGATGCAATCAAACAATTAAAGGAGAAGGGGAAAGGGAAAGGGAAGAGAAGAAGAGAAATGAGGGGGAATGAGAAGAAGAGAAAGGAAGGGGTATAGAAAGTGAAAAGAATTAGACAAATGGAAGAGAAATTAGGGAAGAAAGTATCACTTTTTATTCATACAAGTTGTGTATATTACAATACATAAAGCCTTTTATATAGGGTTTCAAAGATCATGTTCTAAGTGAAAATATCTAATAAAATCTATTAAATCAAACGATAATTATGTTACCTAAAATAAGCGTCAAAGATGAAAACTAAATTAAATAATACGTGTATTAAGATTCCCATCACCAAATAACTCTCACGAACCATGTCTTTACATCTATAGAAGATATGTTCCACCTAGAAGTTGTCATTCCCTTAACTTATCCTCAACCGCACCACCCCCACAGTTGGCATATATTCTAATTTGTTGTCTTATATATTTTAGTATTGTAGTATGACTACATCCTTATTTTCACTACTTTCACCTTATAGACATTTAATTCTTTAACAGCCCAACATGTCACGTCGATATGTGAATGACTTGTTAGTCAACAACACAAGCAAAAACCTTTTCTCAAACCGTAGACAATTTCCACACTTGGGACAAACTTTAAAGTGCAATAGCAAAATCACTTCGAGACTTAAGTCAAGCTAGGTTTCAGATGTTGAAAGATTGAATGGACAAATTTTTGACTAGGTGTTAGAACACTAGGTGAGGTTCTCAAATATTTTTGCAAATGGGCAAAATCTAGTTGATGTCACTACAATTATTATCTACTCTACCTATTAGACTTGTCGATATCATTGTTGTCTCCACAACCACCTTTTTAGTAACTGTGCAATTGTAAAAAATTGGTCAACTTCTCAGCATTGCACATGCTCAGTACACTTTGTACCAAATCGAATCTATAGGGGTCATGTATATGATTGATCAAAGACCTAGCAGAGCTGAGGTCTTGACGACACACCTGGTGGATTTGAGATGGCCTCCTAGAGGTCAGCATGATATGGCTCAAGTTTGTGGTCTTGGTTGAGATTGACATAGTTCGAAGTGCCATTTTCTTAGTTAGCATTTGTGAGCCCTTTGAAAGCTTGAATGTGGGTAGCATTGGATTAGTGAGTGGGATGACTTTTTGAATTTTTTATAAATCATCCGTTGGACTTAGGCAAGCATTTGCCCTATCCAAATAATGGAGAGGTCATGAAGTTTGGGCATTTATGAAGGCCAAGACTTTACTTTTGAATTTCTAGTATTTCGAATAGTATGGGTAGATGTAATGTCACTTTGCTAACCACCTTTCTTCCCTTTCTTGTTTCTTTCTTATAGTCAAAATACCAACAAATGCAGTTGATTTCTTCATTACTCCTTATCTCTAACATGAAACAACAATCAAACCACACAAATTTCAACTTGCATTCCATGCTCAGGCTCATGCATATAACACATACAAAAACTTAGAACTGTAACTAAATATTAGAACTAATATACCGAGGAGAACACTCCACATTCATCATATTTGTTCTTTAATAACTAAAACAACATAACATTACCAATCTTGTCCCTTATTTTGCAGAAGAGGAGAAAGAAAAGAAGAATGGTTTTAAGCTCTACAGAGACTACATAAATAAAGCTACAGCCTGCATCTTAGAATTGAAAATGTTTTTTTTATCTAATACTGAAAAACTATGCAATAAACAAATCGGAATTCAAATTGCCCAATTTAATTCAAATGTATTAAAATCCAAATATCTACTAAAGAATTAAAACAACTAAAAGATGGCGAATGCTCACCGAAGCCCAGTTGATCCTTGTAGGAGGAGAAAGGCTCCTCTACACCCTTCCTTGGAGTAATGTCCTTTACCAACTCTTCATAGGCTTTCCTCTCGGCCACCTCCGCTAGCTTCTTCAACCTCACCTTTAATTCTACACTCTAAAATCGAAATTTGAAAACCATAAAAACTGTAATTATGCTTCAAGATCACATGAAGCAAAATATTATTATTAGGCAATTATGTACTTGCCATTTTGAATTATTAACCGCATGAAATGTACAGATCAGTATTACAAAATCCCTTTGATTCCATTTATTCACCAAATTATTAATGTTATTATTACCTTTTCTCTGGGCTTGGGTCTGGTAAAGATGAAATTGGACCCACTGAGAAGGGTTACTAGGTCCGGGCGGGTACTCGGGTCGACTCCAAGCCAGATGGACTTGAAAGATTTATAGGGTACAGAAGGGTGCAACGAAAGCAAGGAGGAGAGATCTCTGAAGTCCTGGTGGAGGCTGGAGTCTGAGGAGGCGGTGATGAGAAATGAACGGATAGCATCGGTGGTTGACATGATCAGGCCGCCACTATCTACGCCACCGCCAACGGTGGCCGAGGCAGTGGCGGTTGTGGGAGAGGAATTGGATGAAACGTCGTCGTCTTCTTTGGTGGTCATTTTGGCTGATCCGAGGGTTTGAGGAATGGTAAGTATAATGTAATGTCATTAAAGTCAAATATTTTTATTTTTGAAGACAATTCCTCGGGATGTCCTCAAACCGCTTATTGTAGCATTTCAATTAATCTTTTATTTTAAATTTGTTTTTTGAAGTCCTATATTTCATGGTTCCTCACAAGTTTGGGGGTAAAATGATGTACAAGGAGGTCACTTGCCCAAGCTATTCAAAGAACATCACAAGTTCAAATTCGATGCATTGGTACCTCTTCGCAACCATCCATTCAGGGAAGTTTCGTTATTCCTTTTTCCTTTAGTTTGTTCTTTTTCACATTGAGGACAATGTGTGCTTTAAGTTTGGAGGGTTTGAGCCTTGCCGGCTATTGGGGAATTGAGTGATGTTATAGCCTTGCGGCTTTTCTTTGTGTTTTAAGTGGTTATGTTGTATTGATATGTTAGAGTCTTGCTGGCTTTGAATTGTATGATGTTTGAAATTGTTATTGATTCATGAGCTATGCATGGCTAATCCAAATATGCTATTTGTGCCTAAATTTTTTTTCAAAAATTGCTTGTCCATGTAAGATCCTAAGTTACATTGAGCACATAGTCATGATTGATTGTTATCTAGATGTGGTAATTATTGTTTGATGGGAAAATTTTTGAATTGGTAGAACTTAGGTTGTGAGTTATTGTTGAAAAATTATATCAACCTATATCTATTTCTCTTCCACTTTACCATATTGTAAAATACGTTTGGGGGTGGTCGAGCCGGTGAATGATTTTATTGAAGAAGTGTGTTGATTCCATGCATGTTGAAAAAAATTGGTGTGGAGTGTCTTTTGCCGAGTATAAACTAGGTAATGACCATATGCTAGGAATCTACACCCTAATTGTTGCTTAAAAAGAACATTGAACTTTGTTAAATCTTATGTCTCGCTTCGTAGCCTTTTTGACTCGAGTTATTAAGTCTGTTGGGGTATCTTAAAACCCGGTACCCTTTGGTCTAAACAATTGGGGAGTTATCGACCCAAAGATCGTTACAAGGGTCAAGAAAAAAGTTTAAGGGAGTGAAGTCAATATTGAGCTTTTATTGAAAAATTTGATTTGGTGCAATTGTAATTGATCCTAGGCTTAGATAACTAGTGGGTTTAACTTACTTGATATAAACTTGATTGTGAAAGCACTCATTAGTGGAGAATCATCATATTTCTAGATGTTGAAAATGCCGGTTAGATCCAACCGAACTAGTGAGGAAAAAGAAAAAAGTGATTGGAGAGCGACCTTTAGATTTACACCTTGAGAGTAAGAAAAAGAAATATCTATCTGAATGTGTGAATCTCAAGAGCGAGAAAGGATATATTTGACCACTGAGGGTCGGGTTGTAGCCAATTTAAGGTTTTTTTCCGTCTTGATAATTGTTTCCTAATTTAGATGATGATTGAAAGTGGTTATGCACACACTACACTGATCGCACAGTGGATAAGCTGAAAATTATTTTCGATAGCGTCATTTGGAGCATGGTTTTAAATTCATAAACAATTTTATAATTCTGTGATATTTTTGGCAAGCTATCTAATATGTTGATCTTTATTGCATTTGCATGATTATGTTAGAAGTAATCTTGGTCGAGACGAGCATGCCTAGCCCAAGTAGAGCCATCTAGTAATATTATCATGGCTAATTAGAAGTGCTTTCATAGTGATAAGTGTATTTTATACACTTGTTCAGTATTTAAAATAGCGATATTTGATAGTTTTTCTGACAAAATGTATCCTAAATTATTGTATTTTACGTTATATAGGTTAAACTCAATGGTTGAACAATGAATGGAAAGAAAGAAGCGAAAATTGGTAAAAAGGACAAAATCCAAAGTTTGAGGACCAAATTACAAATTTGATAGTTGATTCGGACCACAAGATAATACTTTGAAGATTGTTAGGTGACAATTGGATGGAATTAGAACTCAAAAAGGAATGGAATATGATTAAAATCTATTTCAATTGCACAAGTTATATTCCAGATTTTTGGTCGAGGATTGAGACCCATTTTTGGTATAGTAAATGTCCAAATTAGGAAAACTCTATTTCTATAAAACTTGTAGCCCTTTGAGTTAGAGTTCTAACGCACTTTGAATTGCATCAATTAGACATCGGGAGAGAAAACTTTGGACAAAATACAGAATACTGTGCAAAGACAAAAATCTGCGCGAGAAGATAACTTTCCTTATTCGATTGGAAGTCAATTTGGACGTGATTTTTAACCAATTTTCGACTCCTACAAATACTTAATGAAAGTTATTAGGTGGTCTATAGTAGACATTAGAGAGGTTAGTCCATCGATATGCATGCACAAAATCTTGATGGAAGAAGAGTATAAGCCCGTGGTGGAAAATCAGCGCTAATTGAATCCCACCATGAAGGACATCGTGCGAACAGAGGTATTAAAGCTCCTTGATGCATGCATCATATATCCAATCTCTGATAGCAAGTAGGTTAGTCCGATTCATGTTGTACCAAAGAAATGAGAGATTACAGTGGTAAATAATGAGAATAATGAGCTGATACTGACAAGGTCAGTCACGGGGTGGAGAGTGTGCATAGAGTACAGAAACTGAATAATGCAACTCGAAAAGATCACTTTTCCTTACCTCTCATTGATTAGATGTTGGAAAGACTTGCGGGACATTCACATTACTGCTTCTTGGATGGGTACTCAGGATATAATCAGATTGCAGTGGCTCTAGAGGATTAGGAGAAGACTACATTTACATGCCNCGCCCACCCCTAAGCTTTCCAACTCACTTTGAATTGTTTCAATCGAATATCGGGAGAGAACGTTATGATCAAAATATTGTGTAGAGACAAAAAATCTGTGCGCGAAGATAACTTTCCTTATTTGATTGGAAGTCAATTTAGATGTGATTTTCAACCAATTTTCGACTCCTACAAATACATAAAAACAGAATACATATTGAGTACCTCTTATATACATATTATACTCCAATACTAATCAATTATTATCATCAAAATATAATAATTCATTATTTTTATGAGAGAATTGAAGAAGATTTGCAAGAATTCAATCAATTGAAGATTCAAACCTAATTTTTGGACAAAGAAAAGAATGCGTAAGTGGAGATTTATCAAGAAACCATTGAAGAGATTCAAGATTTCAAGATTAATCTTCATCTTCTCATTCTCAAATCTCAATTTATCAAAAATTCAGGTGATATCTTTTCACTTAAATATGATTTCTTGTAATTCAATATGTTAATCTAAATTTATACAATGCTAGGATGAGATGATCCCTTGTTATGATATTTTTAGTTTTTAATTAATTATTTTGACTTTAATTTGGCTTGATTTGTGGATGTTTATTATCTTTTCTATTGTTCTTTTCAATTGCTTGCACCAATTGAATTGTTAGTGGATTTTATTGTTATCAAGAGAGATAATATGATTTAAGCACATTGTAATAAACATTGTAAGGTTTGATAGATTTAGAGATATACTTCTATACTTTATACGATTTCAATAGGTGCTTTAGTACTTGTTAATCCATTTATCATGTTTGTATCTTTCATCCAGAAATAGAAGAGTCACATGAGGGGAATATATTTGATTGCTATCGAGAGATGCTTTCAATTAAATTAGAAATATTGACCAACATGAATGATTTCAAATTGTCATTTTAATTGTTATACTAAAAATAACAATGGGGATTTGACATCTTAGCAATGCATCTCACATATTTGAAAAACACATTTACTTACTTTCATTAGTTTAATTGATATTTTGGGATTATTATAAAAAAAACCACAAAATTTGTTTGCTATTCAATTGATCAAACACGTAGCCCTCGTGGGTTCGACACTCTATTCAATACTTTATTACTTGTTTACGATCCCGTTCACTTGCGAAAAATCAAACGATCACATAGCATACTCATTCTCACAATATCGTTATCTTGCCATATTTTCCCAGGCATGTAACATCGCCCTACACCACATTTCTATCCAAACCATAACCTATGGCCAATGCAGCGCCCACCGCGGACTATGCATTTAGTGCATAGGGGAAGCCTGCAAGCTATTAGTTCGTGGGGGTTGAAGCAAGTGGGAAGTTGGCTAATTACTCATCAAGCATAGCCCCTTAAGGCTCTTTAAGTCCCTAACTAAGGCGTTGGATGTCAATGATGTGAGAGCTTTAGCATCAAGCAAGACATCGAGTAGATAAAAAAGGGCATGTTAGTGCTTACCTTAGGAATTGGACTCCAATATTATGAGAAAGTTTTAGCATCAAGCAAGTCATTGAGCATAACAGAAAGGACATGTCAATCTTATCATAGGCGTGCTGCATCAATAATGTTAAGTGAGCTTTAGCGAACATTTAAAGTGTCTGTAGAAATTGAAAATTGAACCATTGAGCTCTTAAGTGAGTTGCACCAATGATATGAGAGCCTTAGTGAATACGTAAGGATAGGGCCGACCTTAGCCCCTATTTGTCTACCATTTTTACAAACATTGTTTTCTACAGTAAACAATCTCAACCTAGTTTTGCTACACAAACATAATGTTTGACATAGGGGATGACACAACACACAAATGGGGAGGTCGGCATTATTTAATTCAGGTCGGGACCCACATGCAAAATGAGTGGTCGGTCAACCCCTATGTCAAGCATTATGTTCATTTAACTTAATTCATCTCAACCACATATTCACTCAATAAAATATTCCACACACAAACCAATAAAGTTACTTTAAATTTCAATCAGACATTCTCCAAAAAATACTATTCCTTACACCATTTCTCTACCAATAATGGTAGACAAACAGGCTCTGAGTAGAAAAATGAGAATGAAATTTTTAATGTGTACCAAATATGGGCTATAGCCTATATGTGTTCAAAAGGTAATGAAAAGTCAAAAATACCTACCAATTTATCTTCTTATAAATACTTCATGTAGAGTCAAAGAAAATGTATGAAAAATGAAACCCTANCG